CCTCTCACCTGTCTCTCACCTGTCTCCCTCTCACCTGTCTCTCACCTGTCTCTCACCTGTCTCTCACCTGTCTCTCACCTGTCTCTCACCTGTCTCTCACCTGTCTCTCAGGTGGTGGGTCTGTACCGGCTCTGTGGTTCTGCCTCAGTGAAGAAGGATCTGAGGGACTGGTTTGAGAGGAACAGCTCAGCAGTCTGTCTCAGTGAAGACCTGTACCCGGATATCAACGTGCTCACAGGTAAGGGGACACCTGGGGGGTCTTTGGGTGGCTTTGGGGGGCTTTGAAGGGTCTTTCGGGGTCTGGAGGGTCTTTTGGGTCTTTGAAGGGTCTTTGGAGGTCTCTGGGGGTCTTTGGGGGTCTCTGAAGGTTCCTCTGTGTTCACCAGGTCCCCTCAGGACCTCCCTCTTTAATCAAACTCCTGAAGTCCTTCCTGTCCTCAGGTATCCTGAAGGACTACCTGCGGGAGCTGCCCTCCCCCCTCATCACCTCCTCCCTGTACCAGGTGGTGAGGGAGGCCTTGACCCTGCAGCCCCCCCCCGGCCCCCCCCACAGCCCCAGACCCCGAGCAGAACCGGAGAACCGTGGAGCTGCTGACCTGTTTGCCCCCGCCTGAGAGGGTGAGACCTGAACACCTGTAACACACCTGTAACACACCTGTAACACACCTGTAACACACCTGTAACACACCTTTATCACACCTGTAACACACCTGAAACACACCTGTAACACACAACACACCTGTAACACACCTGTAACACACAACACACCTGTAACACACCTGTTACACACAACACACCTGTTACACACAACACACCTGTAACACACAACACACCTGTAACACACCTGAAACACACCTGTAACACACAACACACCTGAAACACACCTGTAACACACAACACACCTGTAACACACCTGTAACACACAACACACCTGTAACACACAACACACCTGTAACACACCTGTAACACACCTGTAACACACCTGTAACACACAACACACCTGTAACACACCTGAAACACACAACACACCTGTAACACACCTGAAACACACAACACACCTGTAACACACCTGTAACACACAACACACCTGTAACACACCTGTAACACACCTGTTACACACAACACACCTGAAACACACCTGTTACACACAACACACCTGAAACACACCTGTTACACACAACACACCTGTAACACACCTGTTACACACAACACACCTGTAACACACCTGTTACACACAACACACCTGTAACACACCTGTTACACACAACACACCTGTAACACACCTGTTACACTCAACACACCTGTAACACACCTGTTACACACAACACACCTGTAACACACCTGTTCTATATCTATATTCAAGATTCAAGTCTGCATCATCATGTGCCCAGCAGCTCCAGTGTAGAAATGTCTACACGTACATGTATTGATCATCTACATGTATTGATCATCTATATGTTTGATAGTCTAATATACCACCTGTCCTACACCTGAATATGAACCCCCTGTCTCTCAGGCCACCCTGTCCCTGCTGCTGGACCACCTGAGCCTGGTGGCCTCCCTCAGCCCCTGGAACAGGATGACCCACCAGAACCTGGCGGTCTGCTTCGGCCCGGTTCTGCTCACCCCCACCCAGGAGGCCTGGAGGGGAGGGGGAGGGGGGGGGAACACAGGGGGGGGGGGGAAGGCGTTGGGGGAGGAGAGTGCGGTGGACTTCAAGAGACACATCGAGGCTCTGCATTACCTGCTGCAGCTGTGGCCAGGTGAGTCTCTCTAGGGTTCTGGTGCTGGTTCCTCTCAGCTAGTGCTGGTTTCAGACCAACTGGTCCTGGTTCCCCCTCAGCTGGTGCTGGTTCCCCCTCAGCTGGTCCTGGTTCAGACTCAGCTGGTCCTGGTTCCCCCTCAGCTTGTCCTAGTTCCCCTCAGCTGGTCCTGGTTCAGACTCAGCTGGTCCTGGTTCCTCCTCAGCTGTTCCTGGTTCCCCTCAGCTGGTCCTAGTTCCCCTCAGCTGGTCCTGATTCAGACTCAGCTGGTCCTGGTTCCTCCTCAGCTGTTCCTGGTTCAGACTCAGCTGGTCCTAGTTCCCCTCAGCTGGTCCTGGTTCAGACTCAGCTGGTCCTGGTTCAGACTCAGCTGGTCCTGGTTCAGACTCAGCTGGTCCTGGTTCAGACTCAGCTGGTCCTGGTTCAGACTCAGCTGGTCCTGGTTCAGACTCAGCTGGTCCTGGTTCAGACTCATTGTCAGCAGCTTAGAAACTGAAGACTGAGTGAGACGAAAGAAGACACAATACTGGTTTATCTTGATTAGCTTTACTGTTATAAACTGGTGTAAACTGGGAGGGTACAGCTAAATGTATTCTAATGTAACCTCCCCCCCGTCTCCCCCATGTCTCCCCCTCAGTGCCGACCAATCGAGTGCCATCAGACGACCACAGCGACGCCTCCCCCCCCTCCCTCCCCCGGCCTTACCCATAAACCCCTGCGGAAGAAGCAGCCTCGGCTTCCTGTGCTGCGATTGGCTCAGAGCCCCGAACAGGAAGTGGTGTCACGCCGCGGTCGAGACGCCCGGTTGGAGAGTCCGCCGCCAATCAACCGGTACGCCGGGGACTGGAGCGTCTGTGGGCGGGACTTCCTGTCCGGACAGGAAGCCGACTATGACGAGGTGGCAGGAAGCGACAGCGACGGAGGTAACTGTTGACATCACTTCCTGTTAAGACATCAGTGTAGCGTAGACTGGTACCATCAACACCAGTCCAGTCCAGTCCAGTTCAGACCAGTCCAGTCCAGTTCAGACAAGTCCAGTTCAGACCAGTCCAGACCAGTTCAGACCAGTCCAGTTCAGACCAGTCCAGTTCAGACCAGTCCAGTCCAGTTCAGACCAGACCAGTCCAGTTCAGACCAGACCAGTTCAGACCAGTCCAGTTCAGACCAGACCAGTCCAGTTCAGACCAGTTCAGACCAGTCCAGACCAGTCCAGTTCAGACCAGTCCAGACCAGTCCAGTTCAGACCAGACCAGTCCAGTTCAGACCAGTCCAGTTCAGACCAGTCCAGTTCAGACCAGTCCAGTCCAGTTCAGACCAGCCTCGGATGTGGGGAGGAAAGTGAGGGAGGAAGGTGAGGGAGGAAAGTGAGGGAGGGGGTCATGAGGCCCAGTATGGGGACCTGAGTGGATCTTCAGTAGATCCTGGGGGGAGCAGGTTAGTCTGGGCCGATGAGTCCCAGTTCAGAAAGAACCAGTGTGTGACTGAAACTCTTCTGTTCCAGGCAGCAGTGATGAAGAGGAGCAGAAGAAGAGGTCCTGGTCTTCATCAGCATCAGGACCAGGTCTTTATGTCGAAGAGTTCCTGGACTTTGACGCTCCGTTCAACTGTCGACTCAGTTTGAAGGACTTCGACACTCTGATCCATGACCTGGAGCGAGAACTGATCAACATCTGCCTGTAGATCCTGATGTTCCTGATGGTTCTGATGGTTCTGATGGTACCTGATGGTTCTAAGGTTCCTGATGGTTCTGATTGTTCCTGGTGGTTCTAAGGTTCCTGATGGTTCTGATGGTTCCTGATAGTTCCTGGTGGTTCTAAGGTTCCTGATGGTTCTAAGGTTTCTGATGTTCCTGGTGGTTCCTGGTGGTTCCTGGTGGTTCTAAGGTTCCTGATGGTTCCTGATGGTTCCTGATAGTTCCTGGTGGTTCTATGGTTCCTGATGGTTCTGATGGTTCTGATGGTTCTAAGGTTTCTGATGTTCCTGGTGGTTCCTGGTGGTTCCTGGTGGTGCTAAGGTTCTTGATGTTCCTATGCCGTCAAAGCAGATTATTTATTTCTTGATCCAAAGGTAAACGTAGCTCTAAACTGAAGGAGACATGAGGGAACTAATGTCGGTTCCCTCATCAGAACAGTTTTATTTTTATTATTGTTATTATTATTGTTGGTGCAGTGTGGACCCTCTGAAGATGTGAACGGGGTTCTGGTGGTTCTGGTGGTTCTGGGTATCAGGGTAGCATCCTCTCGGGCTGTTTACACTGCTGAAGCCATAATCTCTATTTTACTTGTTACAATTTTGAAGGGAACGTCTTGCAGAACCCATTGCGCTGCTGCTTCTCCTAGTCCTTCCAGGTTCTCCTTCCAGGTTCTCCTTCCAGGTTCTCCTAGTCCTTCCGGGTTCTCCTAGTCCTTCCGGGTTCTCCTAGTCCTTCAGGTTCCTGTTAGTCCTGCAGGTCCTAAAGGGTTCCTGTAGGGTTCAGGTTCCTGTTGGTTCTTCAGGTTCCTGATGGGTTCAGGTTCCTGTTGGTTCTTCAGGTTCCTGATGGGTTCAGGTTCCCCTGGATTCCAGCAGAGCGATGTGTTCTGCAGAGGTTCTTCAGTATTTTGCGGTACAGAGTGATGAAGGAATCCGTACTGAGGGTTACAGACAGAAGCTGTTTACTGTTTGTTTCTCATGTTTGTTGACAGTATTGTTTGTTGACAGTATTGTTTTGTTGACAGTATTGTTGTTTTGTTGACAGTATTGTTGTTTTGTTGACAGTATTATTGTTTTGTTGACAGTATTATTGTTTTGTTGACAGTATTATTGTTTTGTTGACAGTATTGTTGTTTTGTTGACAGTATTGTTTTGTTGACAGTATTATTGTTTTGTTGACAGTATTATTGTTTTGTTGACAGTATTGTTGTTTTGTTGACAGTATTGTTTTGTTGACAGTATTATTGTTTTATTGACAGTATTATTGTTTTGTTGACAGTATTGTTGTTTTATTGACAGTATTGTTGTTTTATTGACAGTATTGTTGTTTTGTTGACAGTTTTGTTGACAGTATTGTTTTGTTGACAGTATTGTTGTTTTGTTGACAGTATTATTGTTTTATTGACAGTATTGTTGTTTTATTGACAGTATTGTTGTTTTGTTGACAGTATTGTTGTTTTGTTGACAGTATTGTTGTTTTGTTGACAGTATTGTTGTTTTATTGACAGTATTATTGTTTTATTGACAGTATTGTTGTTTTGTTGACAGTATTGTTGTTTTATTGACAGTATTGTTGTTTTGTTGACAGTATTGTTGTTTTGTTGACAGTATTGTTTGTTGACAGTATTGTTGTTTTGTTGACAGTATTATTGTTTTATTGACAGTATTATTGTTTTATTGACAGTATTATTGTTTTGTTGACAGTATTGTTGTTTTATTGACAGTATTGTTGTTTTGTTGACAGTATTGTTTTGTTGACAGTATTGTTGTTTTGCACAGATATTAAGCACTTCTGTTGTTATTGACGACGATGTTTCTATGCAGATGAACCAAAGTGTTGAAGCACATTTCCTGTCTGTATGTTTTATAACCCGACCAAATATTAAACACTTATTATTATTGTTGTTTGTTTGTTATTAGAAGTCTAGTAGAAGTGAACAAATCTTAATGTTTCATCAGTTTCAGTTTCCTGAAAACAGAGGAGTTTACTATTTAAAATATATTTATAAGTCATCTTTGTGATTTGTAAAAACCGCCCTGAGGGGAGAACGTGCGGTCGTCCACGGCAAGGCACGGTCGTCCACGGCAACGTGACGCCGCTCGGGAACCGGAGAGAGAGAGACCATCGGCAGAAAGGAGAGAACATGAACCATACATCTAAATGTTCCCTCGTGAACATTTCTAGACTTCATTTACAGAAATGGATAAAAGCCGATCTGAAAACGATTAAACAAACGCCTGAAACCTGAGACCTGGCCCGCCCCTCCCTACATGCAGATCACGCAGACTGTTGGCCAGGGGGGGACCCTGGGGGAGACCCTGGACTACCAACCATGAAATAAAAAGATAAATAGTTTTTTTAAATAAAGTCCCAACTGTGTGCACAAACAAGGTTCAAGCTTCAAGCTTCAAGGTTCTTTATTTGTCATACGAACATAGCTACAGTGTAGTTAGGTCACACAGGCTCCTCCGACAGAGCAACACAAAGGGGGGGAGTCTCCCTCCGCAGCCGGTTGGCGTAGTTTTGGCACAATTCCGTTGTACAGACCGACGTTAACAGCAGCCCTGTCTGCACACGGTGACCGACTGGTTTTAGTCCTGAAACTGTCTCTGAGTCTGGTGGTTTTAGTCCGGATGCTGTCCCTGAGTCTGGTGGTTTTAGTCCGGATGCTGTCTCTGAGTCTGGTGGTTTTAGTCCGGATGCTGTCTCTGAGTCTGGTGGTTTTAGTCCGGATGCTGTCCCTGAGTCTGGTGGTTTTAGTCCGGATGCTGTCTCTGAGTCTGGTGGTTTTAGTCCGGATGCTGTCTCTGAGTCTGGTGGTTTTAGTCCGGATGCTGTCCCTGAGTCTGGTGGTTTTAGTCCAGATGCTGTCTCTGAGTCTGGTGGTTTTAGTCCGGATGCTGTCTCTGAGTCTGGTGGTTTTAGTCCGGATGCTGTCCCTGAGTCTGGTGGTTTTAGTCCGGATGCTGTCTCTGAGTCTGGTGGTTTTAGTCCGGATGCTGTCTCTGAGTCTGGTGGTTTTAGTCCGGATGCTGCGGTAGCGCCTGCCCAGTGACGTGCGGTGAGGTTCATGGCTGGTGAGGCACTGACTCTTTCAGAGTCAGATTTACAAATATTATATTTTGACCTTAATCGAAATATTCGGTTATTTTCAAAAGCTTTTTTAGTCTGATGCTTCGATTAATTTTAAACAGACCGTTCAACAAAAGGATACCCAAAATCTAAATATTGGATTGTTCTTTCTTAGTAAGATCCCATTTTCATTACAGTTGTGGTCTTACCTTGACTTGAAGATGAAGTCCATGCTATCCTTCTGGACAACAATCTCTATTACTGTTTTGTAAAAGTCCTCCTTATCTTCCTGTAGTTTCAAAAGTCTAGTTTGTTGTTTGCGGTAGAATAACAGTAGCAACAAGAACCTGTGGGCTCACGTGTGCCCCCTGCAGTGCGGCAGAGGTCATGGCTGCCTCTCCTGGTGCTTTTTTCATAGCCGTTGTACGATGAGACCAGCGAGCCTAAATATCATATATACGTGAAATAAGTTATTTAGAGACTATGGATGGTGAGGATAAATGTAATAAAGGGATCTACAAACATTACATTGGTGACCTACAGTGAGATGGGAACAGGCATGCGCTTAGGGCCCGCTTTCCAGCCAGTTTCTGTGGGGTGACGCATTCTGAGGTGAGGCAGATCTCATCTGTGCCTCACCTCAGCCCACAGTAACTGGCTGGAGCGCGCTCACAAAATAAGTGGCCGCGCTAAATTAGTGCCCGTGCTCCAGCAAGTTACTGTGGGCTTACGAGAGGCAGAGCTCGTCCCTGCCTCACTTCTCATTGCTCCCATGTAGTTGTAGCGGAGCTCGGCCAATTTGCTGATTTTGACTATAAAAAGCGATTGGAATCAAACAGAAATCACACTGACAACACAGATCAGTGGAGACATTTTATTATTATTACTAATTAGTTTTTCTTTAGTTGTTTTTCTGTTACATTGGAGTATGACAGGTGAGGCTCTGCCTTCCCTGCCCCCACTGACTGCACGTCGCTGCGCCTGCCAGACGGCAGCAGACAGAACAGTTTGTGGCTGGGTTGATGGTGGTCTTTTGTAATCCGGAGGGCTTTCTTCCTGAGCCGCTGAGAGTAAAGGTCCTCAAACCCAGCTTTCTTTGCACTTTACTATCATTTCTCAAAAGGGAAGAAAATGAATTGATCAGTCATCCTGTGCATCTGGCTCACGTGACTCTGGCTCCAGGTTCTGCAAAACCCAGAGAGAACCCAGAGAGAACCCAGAGAGAACCCAGAGAGAACCCAGAGAGAACCCAGAGAGAACCCAGAGAGAACCCAGAGAGAACCCAGAGAGAACCCAGAGAGAACCCAGAGAGAACCCAGAGAGAACCCAGAGAGAACCCAGAGAGAACCCAGAGAGAACCCAGAGAGAACCCAGAGGTCCTGTTGCAGACAGATTGAGCCCTCAGTGCGGTCTGACAGGACTCAGGTGAACCTGAAACACAAACCTCTTTTCTAAATAAATACACTGGATTCAATCTGAGTTTTACTTTCATATGTAATGTTAGTTTGTGAAGTAGAAACAGGTCATGTTTTATGTGTTTAATTTGATCACAGTTGTTAAAGTTTTAAATATAACTAGTGATTAAAATAAAAAAGTGCCTGCCAGTCAAGTCTCAGGACTCTAAAATCCCAGAGCTCCTCATCCTTACGTCACGGCTGGACCGCTAGCTTCTCTCTGATTGGCCAAGGGGTGATCAGCTGACGCATCTGAGCGCTGATTGGCTGCTGTCCTCTGTGGAGGCGGTGCTTGTGGAGCACGGCTTCTCTGCTTAAAATGGCTGCAGAATGTGACGGAAATAAAACAAAGTGAACAAAAAGAGACGAAGAAGAAGAAGCGGGTTCTGCAGGTTCTAGGTTCTGCACCGGGAAGTCCTGCAGGGTTTCTCTGGGTTCTGCAGGTTCTGCAGAAACAAAGTTTAGATGAACATCAGGTAACTGCGCCATTGCTTCTCTTTATTGATGTATGTATTTATAATCTGATGCAGTTTGAGCATCAGATTATAAAAACATCCTCCCCCTAACTCCGAGCTCCAGAACTTTATTCATCATTATAATGTCTTCTTTTCTTCCTGTTTGAATGTCTCAGATCCTTACTGTCGGGAACATAAAGGGTTAAACCGGTTATAAATGTCTGTCTAAAGTATGTCATGCTGTATTTATTTAGTTGTTTAAACAACAACAACAACAGTTTCTCTGGTGCTTTCCTAAACTGCTCACTACATATACTTGTATCAGAAAGTAAATAAATATCATCTTTATTTAACGCTTCTCTCGCGTTAGGTCATACCCCCCTTCCCATGCTATTTTCGGTCAAAATTGACCGGTGTGTTTTGCACAGTGATATCTCTGGAACCCCTTATCCCATTTTGATGGTTGACATCTCATTTGAACAGTCAAAGCAAGTAGAATCAAGGGACGACAGACAGAATGACACCAGGGGTGAATTTCATATTATTTTTGGCAGTAAGTTCAAAGATAGTGCTTATTTTACATTAAAAAAAGTGTGTGTGTGTGTGTGTGTGTGTGTGTGTGTGTGTGTGTGTGTGTGTGTGTGTGTGTGTGTGTGTGTGTGTGTGTGTGTGTGTGTGTGTGTGTGTGTGTGTGTGTGTGTGTGTGTGTGTGTGTGTGTGTGTGTGTGTGTGTGTGTGTGTGTGTGTGTGTGTGTGTGTGTGTGTGTGTGTGTGTGTGTGTGTGTGTGTGTGTGTGTGTGTGTGTGTGTGTGTGTGTGTGTTACACCACATTTTCTATGGCGGTCAATTCTGACCGAAACCTCAAGGGTGTTTCACTGTTGAATAAATCACTCAAAATGCAAGCGGTGATCATCGAGTGTATATGTTCAGAGGCCTAGTGTGATAATAACTAATAATATGAGGATAACATAAGGTATTGAGGCAATTGGATGAAAAACACAATATTTATGATTAAAACAAAAGTCATTCGGTCACTTTTGACCCGAAACGCAAGAGAAGGGTTAAGAATATCATCTGTGGTTATAAAGCGAGTAAAGATAATGCAGTACTTTATATATATATATATATATATATTACTACATCATGCACCTCATCATGCTGTAGATATATGTAGATATATATATATATATATATATATATATCTGACTGACTTAGTTTTGATATTAAAAAATAAATAAAAATATGATTTTGAGTTTCTGATTAAAATACTTTGACTGTAGTTCAATGCCAGCATGATGAGGTGCATGATGTAGTAATATATATATATATATATATATATGTATATGTAATATATATATATGTAATATATATATATATATATATATATATATATATATATATATATATGTATATGTAATATATATATATATATATTATATAGATATATATATATATATATATATATATATATATATGTATATGTAATATATATATGTATATGTAATATATATATGTATATGTAATATATATATGTATATGTAATATATATATGTATATGTAATATATATATATATATGTAATATATATATATATATATATATATATATTACTACATCATGCACCTCATCATGCTGGCATTGAACTACAGTCAAAGTATTTTAATCAGAAACTCAAAATCATATTTTTATTTATTTTTTAATATCAAAACTAAGTCAGAGAACGGTTCTATCAAGTTTATTTATTAAGAACCTGAAGCTGGTTCCCTGTCAGCAGACCACTGAGCGCAGAACCCTCAAAACACTCCAGAGACCTGCAGCTTCATGAGGTCATTTACATAGAACCATCAGTACCGGTTCTCTCTTTAGGGTTCTGTTCTCCACCTGAACCCTGTTCTGTGTCTTTAGGGTTCTCCACCTGAACCCTGTTCTGTGTCTAGGGTTCTCCACCTGAACCCGGTTCTTTGTTATTATTACATTTAACTTGTTAGACGCTTTTATCCAAAGCGACTTACATACTCAATACTGTGGACAATCCCCACAGGAGCACAACGACATGCGGTTCTCACCTGTTCTGGACCCTGTTCTGTGTCTTTAGGATTCTGAACCCTGTTCTGTCTCTTTAGGGTTCTGAACCCTGTTCTGTCTCTTTAGGGTTCTGAACCCTGTTCTGTGTCTGCAGGGTTCTGGACCCTGTTCTGTGTCTTTAGGGTTCTGAACCATGTTCTGTGTCTGCAGGGTTCTGAACCTTGTTCTGTGTCTGCAGGGTTCTGGACCCTGTTCTGTGTCTTTAGGGTTCTGAACCATGTTCTGTGTCTGCAGGGTTCTGAACCTTGTTCTGTGTCTGCAGGGTTCTGAACCCTGTTCTGTGTCTGCAGGGTTCTGGACCCTGTTCTGTGTCTTTAGGGTTCTGGACCCTGTTCTGTGTCTTTAGGGTTCTGAACCCTGTTCTGTCTCTTTAGGGTTCTGAACCCTGTTCTGTCTCTTTAGGGTTCTGAACCCTGTTCTGTGTCTGCAGGGTTCTGAACCCTGTTCTGTGTCTGCAGGGTTCTGAACCCTGTTCTGTCTCTTTAGGGTTCTGAACCCTGTTCTGTGTCTGCAGGGTTCTGAACCCTGTTCTGTGTCTGCAGGGTTCTGAACCCTGTTCTGTGTCTGCAGGGTTCTGAACCCTGTTCTGTGTCTGCAGGGTTCTGAACCCTGTTCTGTGTCTTTAGGGTTCTGAACCCTGTTCTGTCTCTTTAGGGTTCTGAACCCTGTTCTGTGTCTTTAGGGTTCTGAACCCTGTTCTGTGTCTGCAGGGTTCTCCAGGGGGCTCTGTCTCACATGATGCCAGTGGACATGGCGATGAGGTTCTGTCTGGCCGGTTCTCCTCCTCTGGGTTCCTTCCTGTTAGAACACTGTTCCCCGCTGAGGCCCTGCCTGTCCTCCGGTCTCCACGGCGACGCCTGCACTAACACCACGGTAACCAGGAGGTCAGCGGTCTGTCTGAAGAAGAAGAGGAACGTTGTGTTTGCGGACTCTCGGGGTCTGGCTCTCGCTGACGTCCACGTTTATAACGAGGACGAGGACCAGCTGCTGACGGAGAACCAGGACCTGAAGCTGAGAGACAGGACAGGTGAGAACCAGCACCTGAGAGACAGGACAGGTGAGAACCAGCACCTGAGAGACAGGACAGGTGAGAACCAGCACCTGAGAGACAGGACAGGTGAGAACCAGGACCTCAGAGACAGGACAGGTGAGAACCAGCACCTGAGAGACAGGACAGGTGAGAACCAGCACCTGAGAGACAGGACAGGTGAGAACCAGGACCTCAGAGACAGGACAGGTGAGAACCAGCACCTGAGAGACAGGACAGGTGAGAACCAGCACCTGAGAGACAGGACAGGTGAGAACCAGCACCTGAGAGACAGGACAGGTGAGAACCAGCACCTGAGAGACAGGACAGGTGAGAACCAGCACCTGAGAGACAGGACAGGTGAGAACCAGCACCTGAGGTGAATCCCATTGAGATCATTGACCTACTGCAAGTAGGTTCCACATGAATACATATAAACATAACAGAAAAACAAAAAGGACATCATACAGCATCATTACAGCGACTACAGTTTACATAGCTAGTAACATTTACAGGTTCCAACAGTTTCCGATTGGATAGCATCTATCCTTGCTTTAAAGACATTTAGTGGAACCAGATTGCTCAGACTGTTCCAAGACAGAGGAGCTGCGCATCTAAAAGCTATCTTCCCTAAGACAGTCCTAGCAGTTGGCACATTTAATAAAACCACAGCATCTCAGGCAGTAGCCACTTACAATTGGCCGTGAGATCAGGGAGCAGATGTAGGATGGAAGTTTCCCTAACATGGCTTTATATATAAAAATGTACCAGTGACTGAGCCTCCGTACAGTTATGGCGCATTTCCATTGCAGCGCGTAGCTCGCTTTAAGCGTGCCGTGTCGTGCCGTCCCCTTTTTTGGTTGTGCTTCCACTAGGCCTCGTTCCGGCGCGGCACGGCGCGGGGCCACTTTTTCCCCTCTTTTCTGGCCCTAGAAAATTGTGGTTCTATCGGGGCCAACAAACAGGGCTGAGTCGGGCTGAGTATGCTAAACTAGAGAGAGGAGCGCTGGCAAGAGGGCTAGAACTACAACAAGATGGACATATTTGACCGTGATTTAATTGTAATACACGTTTCAAAATGATGCCGAAGTAACAACATACTGATACCGGTTAGTAAAAACCATGAATTAATGCTTTGTCAAGTCTGCAGACAGACGGCAGGCGAAAAACCTTTTAAAATTCGTGTTTTTTCTAGATGGAGATTGGCTAAGCTAACGCAGTATATGCCCCGACCGTCCACACTCACAACAACGGCCTATACAGACATAAATTAAGCAGCGACTGTATTCACCATGACACAGGCAGTCTGTGGTGTGTACTTGTTTAACTTTTGTCGAGTTTCTGAACATATATAAGGAGCTGTGAGCTCTGAGTGCTCACAGCTAACGGCTGTGTTGTGTTTCTGGATTTCTCATTGAAGATGACGTCACGGCTCCGCCTACACTGCGTTACTACCCAGTTCCTAAACTGTAATGGAAGCGCAGCATGAAGTGAGTCGGCCCTGTTAAGGCCCAACGCGGCCAAGCCGTACCGAGCCGTACCGAGTGTGGCCGAGGCCGACCGTGTAGTGGAAATGCGCCATTAGTGAAGGCAGACCAGCCCTTGCATACAGGGTACAGTGATGGGTTAATGCTTTACAGTTTGTCACAAGTCTCAGTGCGCTGTGATACGCAGCATCTAACTTGACCAGGCAATTGGCAGGTGCATTCATATAGATCAGATCACCATAGTCCAGCACAGGTCAAAAGGTCACAGAGCCTGTTTCTGGCCTCGAGCGAGAAACAGGACTTGTTCCTGTAGAAGAAACCTAGCCTAACCCTCAGTTTGTTAAGCAGGTTATTGACCTGAAGTTTAAAAGAGAGACAATCATCAAGCCAGATACCAAGGTATTTGTAACAGGTAACCACTTCAAGTTTTATTCCTTGCATAGTCACAATATCTAAAACAGGCTCTGGTGTCTTTTTAGCTTTAGAAAAGAGCATTACCTTGGTTTTATCAACATTTAAAAGAAGCTTTAGTTCAGAGAGCTGAGTCTGAATAATGTTAAAAACAGCCTGTAATTTAACACCAGCCTCCTTAATGGAGGGACCTGCACAGTACATCACGGTATCATCCGCATAGAAATGTAAAGTAGCTTCATCCACATTTTCACCTAAACTATTGATGTAGATGGAGAATAAAAGAGGACCTAAAACAGAACCTTGAGGAACACCATTAGCAATGTTTAACCACTCAGAAGACAGCCCATCAAAGTGAACACATTGGGACCTTTCAGAGAGGTAGTTCACAAACCACCCACTGCATGGCTGGATAAGCCAATACTGAGTAGCCTCTGCTTTAAGATGTGATGATCGACCGTATCAAATGCTTTGGAAAGGTCAATAAATAGAGCTGCACAACTCTGCTTATTATCTAAAATACTTGTAATGTCATTCACCACCTTCATTGTTGCAGTGATGGTGCTATGTTGCTTTCTGAAGCCTGACTGATGTTTAGACAGGATGTCATTGTTACATAGAAACTCCTTTACCTGTTCACTCACTAGGCGTTCAAGAACCTTAGCCAGAACTGACCATTTAGAGATTGGCCTATAGTTATTTAAAACAGTTGCCTCCCCTCCTTTCAGCAAAGGCAGGACATAAGCTGACTTCCATACTTTAGGAATTGTGTTTGTGCTGAGGGAGAGGTTAAAAAGAGAAGTGAGAGGTGGAGCAATACAATCTGCAGCTATCTTTAAAAAGAAAGGTTCCACGTTGTCCGGGCCGGCCGGTTTCTTAGGATCTAACTTGTAAAACTGAAAGGGTTTTCCAGAGCACATTGTTCAGAGTCACAGACTGTGGTGTTCACAGAAGCAGAGTTAGTCACAGAATCAAACAGAGAGCCACAGGACACAACATGCTCATTAAAGCAATGTAACATGGTGGCCCTGTCCGATATAGAGCCAGATGCTGTGGTAAGGCACGGAGGTAGCTCATTACGGATCTCACCGGTGGATATCGATTTTATGGCTTTCCAACATTTCCTAGGATTATTTAGGTTTTCTGTAGTAACTGACAAATAGTACTTTGACTTAGCACTTTTGACATGTGAAGTGAAGCTATTCCTTAGCTGCCTAAAACGCAGCCATTCTACCTCTGAGCCTGATTTCCTAGCCTTTGCCCAGGCCTTGTTTCTCTCATCAGGAGACTCCTTGTTTCTCTCATGTAGGAGACTCCTTGTTTCTCTCATCAGGAGACTCCTTGTTTCTCTCATCAGGAGACTCCTTGTTTCTCTCCTGCAGGAGACTCCTTGTTTCTCTCATGCAGGAGACTCCTTGTTTCTCTCATGCAGGAGACTCCTTGTTTCTCTCATGCAGGAGACTCCTTGTTTCTCAAGGCAGGAGACTCCTTGTTTCTCAAGCAGGAGACTCCTTGTTTCTCAGCAGGAGACTCCTTGTTTCTCTCATCAGGAGACTCCTTGTTTCTCTCCTGCAGGAGACTCCTTGTTTCTCTCATGCAGGAGACTCCTTGTTTCTCTCATGCAGGAGACTCCTTGTTTCTCATGCAGGAGACTCCTTGTTTCTCAAGCAGGAGACTCCTTGTTTCTCTCATCAGGAGACTCCTTGTTTCTCTCATCAGGAGACTCCTTGTTTCTCTCCTGCAGGAGACTCCTTGTTTCTCTCATGCAGGAGACTCCTTGTTTCTCTCATGCAGGAGACGCCTTGTTTCTCTCATGCAGGAGACTCCTTGTTTCTCTCATGCAGGAGACTCCTTGTTTCTCTCATGCAGGAGACTCCTTGTTTCTCTCATGTAGGAGACTCCTTGTTTCTCTCATGCAGGAGACTCCTTGTTTCTCTCATCAGGAGACTCCTTGTTTCTCTCGTGCAGGAGACTCCTTGTTTCTCTCGTGCAGGAGACTCCTTGTTTCTCTCATCAGGAGACTCCTTGTTTCTCTCATGTAGGAGACTCCTTGTTTCTCTCATGCAGGAGACTCCTTGTTTCTCTCATCAGGAGACTCCTTGTTTCTCTCATGAAGGAGACGCCTTGTTTCTCTCGTGCAGGAGACTCCTTGTTTCTCTCATGAAGGAGACGCCTTGTTTCTCTCATGAAGGAGACTCCTTGTTTCTCTCGTGCAGGAGACTCCTTGTTTCTCTCGTGAAGGAGACGCCTTGTTTCTCTCATGAAGGAGACTCCTTGTTTCTCTCGTGCAGGAGACTCCTTGTTTCTCTCATGAAGGAGACTCCTTGTTTCTCTCATCAGGAGACTCCTTGTTTCTCTCATGAAGGAGACTCCTTGTTTCTCTCATGCAGGAGACTCCTTGTTTCTCTCATGCAGGAGACTCCTTGTTTCTCAAGCAGGAGACTCCTTGTTTCTCAAGCAGGAGACTCCTTGTTTCTCTCATCAGGAGACTCCTTGTTTCTCTCCTGCAGGAGACTCCTTGTTTCTCTCATGCAGGAGACGCCTTGTTTCTCTCATGCAGGAGACTCCTTGTTTCTCTCATGCAGGAGACTCCTTGTTTCTCTCATGCAGGAGACGCCTTGTTTCTCTCATGCAGGAGACTCCTTGTTTCT